ACCCGCCTGTAACTCCCTGTATTGCTGTCCGCGGCGTTGGGGTCAGGCTGTGGACACACGAGCATCAGGATGATGCAGAAGAGGATGGGGTGGGCTCCCCGAGTCTCCCAGGGGTCGTCTCCCTGAGTCTTCCAGGAGCAGGTGTGAGTTGCAGAGAAGCGCAAACGCTGTGGAAACGCAGCTGGTGTGCCCAAAAGCGTGTCTGCTTCGAGCAGGTCCCGTGCTTGCTGAAGCTGAAGCACTCTCCTGGTGTGGTATTCGCTGGAGTGGACAGCCCAGAAGACTTAATGAGTCGCACGTACCAGGAGCTGTTTCAGACCGGTGGCTTCGTGGTGTCGGACGAGGACGTGTTGGAAACGGTAACGCTGGGTGAGTCTCGCTGCAGCCTCTCGCTTGGATGCAAACACGCAGTTGGCTCCCAGCCTTGTCCGCTGGTTTGCCAACACCTTCCAAAAACTTGCCGTCGGCATCCTTGGCTCCCGCTTTAGTGGGGGCAATTGTTCCCCTCTGCTTGACATTTGAGACCACGTCTGGATGGTGGGTCACAGTCAGGGCTCCCAAAAACATCTCAGTATGGTGGGAGGCCACCAAGATGGTCAGGGGCTGGAGCAGGGGTGGTACAAGGAGGAGGGAGGACAAAAGGGAGACTTTGGTGCTGTCTCTGGCTCACTAATGGGAAGGAGCAGAGAAAATGGAGCCGCACTTCTCCTGGAGATGCGCAGTGGTGGGACAAGAGGTGACAGGGACGAGTTGCAAGTGTGTTCAGACACCAGGACAGGTTGTGAATCTTCATCCCCGAAGGTATTCAAACCTCACCTTGACCAAGCCCTGAGAAACCTCAGGTGGCCCAACTTCAAGCAGGGGTCAGGCCAGAGACCCCCAGACATCCCTTTCCACCCTTGGTTACCCTCAGGCTCTTGCTGTCTCCCCAGGCCAACTGACGGGTGTGGTGAAGGTGCTGGAGAGGCTGAACAGAAGTGGGAGATGGAAGTGGCTCCTTCACTACAAGGAGAGCAAGAAGCTCAGAGAAGATGTCAGGTAACGTCTCTGTGGCGGCAGCTCCATTGTCCCTGCTGTCCTTGTCACCGCAGCAAGGACATACCCTGGTGGAGGGTGGTGTCCCATTCAGTGCAGGGGCACAGAGTGCGTTTGGTGCCTCTGGGTGGGTTTTGGCCTCTTGCCAAATGAATTTGAAGACTTTTGTTTAACAGGGGCGTACGCTTCGCTGGGTGAAAAACTGGCCAGATGGCCGGGCCCAGAGAGTTGTGGTGAATGGAGTTAAATCCAGTTGGTGACCAGTGACAAGTGGTGTTCTCCAGTGTTGGGGCCAGTTCTGTTTAATACCCTTATTCGTGATCTGGACGAGGGGATCAAGTGCACCCTCAGGAAGTTGGAAGACGACACCAAGATGGGTGGGAGTGTTGAGGGCAGGAAGGCTCTACAGAGGGATCTGGACAGGCTGGATCCATGGGCCGAGGGCCGTTGTCTGAGGTTCAACATGGCTGAGGGCCGGGTCCTGCTCTTGGGTCACCACAACCCCAAGCAAGGCTGGAGGCTTGGAGAAGAGTGGCTGGAAAGCTGCCCAGTGGAAAAGGCCCAGGGAGTGTTGGTCAACTGCCGGCTGAATATGAGCCAGCAGTGTGCCCAGGTGGCCAAGAAGGCCAACAGCATCCTGGCTTGTATCAGCAATAGTGTGGCCAGCAGGACTGGGGCAGTGATCGTCCCCCTGTGCTCGGGGGAACCTCGAGACCTCGAAGAAGACCTCGAATCCTGTGTTCAGTTTTGGGCCCCTCACTACAAGAAAGACCTTGAGTGCTGGAGCGTGTCCAGAGAAGGGCAACGGAGCTGGTGAAGGGTCTGGAGCACGAGTGTTATAGGAGCAGCTGAGGGAACTGGGGGTGTTCAGCCTGGAGAAAAGGGGGCTGAGGGGAGACCTTCTTGCTCTCTACAACTACCTGAAAGGAGGTTGTAGCGAGGTGGGGGTTGGTCTCTCCTCCCAAGTACCAAGTGATAGGACAAGAGGAAATGGCCTCAAGTTGCACCAGGGGAGGTTTAGATTGGAAATTAGGAAAAATTTCTTCAGTGAAAGGGGTGTCAGGCATTGTTGTCAGGCATTGGAACAGGCTGCCCAGGGAAGTGGTGGAGTCACCATCCCTGGAGAGATTTAAAAGATGTGTAGATGTGGTGCTGGGGACAGGGTTTAGTGGTGGACTTGGCAGTGCCAGGTTAAGGTTGAATTTGATCTTAAAGGTCTTTTCCAACCTAAATGATCCTGTGATTCCATAAGAACTTTTCCTATCAGTGCACGGCGTGTGCCTCAAGTCTGGACTTGCTGGAGGTCGGCATTTGAGTGCTGTTGAGTGAAGTGCAATAGGTTTTTTTTACACCTATGTAAGATGGAGCAGCAGGACATGGGACCTGGAGAGGATCAGATGGCCTGAAACGTTGTGTCTTGCACGTGATCCCGGATGAGGCAGAGCCCTGGCAGCTGCTTCTTGCACCCCGCTGCGTCTCCATCCGGCAGTCCCCCCCTCTCTTTGGCAGAGATGCCCTCGGCGAGCGTCGCAGCCTGCAAGAGGCTTGAGGAAAGGGCACAAATTTTATTTGAGGAGCTTCCCGCTCCAAAAGCTGCCTCTGCAAACTGAGCTTCCTTCCCACCAGCTCACCCAGCTCCTGCACAGGCACACACTGGGAGCTCGGGGTACCTTCCCAGGCCTCCCTCTGCCCCACCATCCCTTTGCTC